CCAGGATCGGTTCAGTGACCCAGTGACACAAGTTTTCAAGTTACAGGTGCATTTTCGACAAGGGTGAGTTTTAGTCAGTTTATTGGTAATCATTCATTTTTAAATTTAACGCAAGCTATGGCTTGTTTCCGGCAATAATTCTTAAAATTCTCGTACGAAAATATTTATCCGGGCTTTTTAAACAGACTTATTCGTTATCAGCAACAGTGCTGGTCGTTATTAAATTACGGATTTATATCACAATAACGAACTACGATCACTTTTCGTTAATTTCCTTTTCGTGGATACGTTATTGACACAAGGAATTTTACGTATTCCATATCCTCCCACTTCAAATAACTATTATTTTCGAATCCTCTAAAAAAAATGTGTATTCGTCTTTTTACGTTACACGTGATTTTCATCTATTTATCCTTTATTCATCATTCACTTTAAATAACAAACAAACCATGACAACGTGTTCGATTTTATTTGCTACGCCTTTTTCATTTGCCATTCTACGCAATTTTCCTCGTTGCATGCCGAGTTGCTTGTTCACAAGTCGCAGCGCGGCGCGTAGCCACGCTAGCACGGCGCGTAGCCATGCTAGCATGGGAGCTCGGGCGGAAAGCGCGCGATCTGATTGGTCGGTGCTTTTTGTTAATATCTCGTTAACGAAACCCCGGAGAGCATTTTCACAAAGGAAAAAGTTGTTTGCAATCATCCCCCGAATCACCCCCTTTAAGGACCCGCAACATCTTTGGGACACCCTGTATAACAGATCGTTGACAATTGTATCCAGCACTACTTGTTCGAATAACAATATTCGAGTATTCCAAGCATATTTATAGTATTACAACGCTAATAAAAGCTAATGAAAGTCTAAGGCCTGATCCCCCAGCCGATTTCGAAAGCTTTCCGCGAACAGAATCCAATTTAAAACGGCCAATCTCGCGACAGACATATTTTTCCAACCGGCCGTTCGTGGACCGATCGATTATCCGTTGATCAGCCGAGCTTCCTTGTAACAGAGTTAATCCCACGGACGTTAATTAAACAGTGAAAAGCTTCGGTGGCCCCTAATCCATCGACCGAGGCCGTCTTTCACTGCGGATTATTTGCTGGGGGAGCCCAGGCTCTTTCCTTCGTCCCGATCGATCTTACGCCTCGCTTTTACGCGCCTTTAACGAAATTAGACCCGAGAAGAGAGACCTCCATCCCCCAACTGGCGCTCCTTCCATCCCTCTGGAAGTCTCTCCTTTATTTTCCACGAGCTATCTTTCCATTTATCTGTCCGACTGACTGGGTGATCCACTGGATCCCGAAAACGTGGGATGCTTCGAATTTCCATTCGAGGAACGATCCTTGCGAATTTTCTACTGGAAATACACTCCTCGACGAGTAGGGATCCGGTTCGACGGACGATTAAAGACACCGGGAACTGTGAAAGAAGCTCGCGTGAACACGTGTCATTCTCCGCAATTCCTTAGATTTAGAGTAGATAGATAAAGAACTGTGTGGGGGGTTCGGTATCGGAGAGGATCGTAATGATAAACTCAATCCACCCACTTTTTGATTGCGGGAGTACAAGTGTTTTATTCTGATTTTGTACAACAAAACGTGAGATAGAGAACCGCGTAGGTGAGGTGCGAAGCACGCGATGATGTTTTCAAGTACGGACTGTCCCGTGCCCTCTGTCCTACCGGGGTTTTATACCCTGTCTAGGAAAAGGACAGCGCGTATCTCCGACTCTCACAAAAACGACGCCGAATTCGGCGGGAAAAATGTTTCGGCCGCGTGGCCAGCGTCGATGAGTTTCCTGGCCGCTGGAAAAACCCAGGCTTGCACCGGTGGTCGCCATGTGCGCCCATCGACCCTGACCGGGCCCGTACAAGCCCTTACAAAAGAAACTAAAAATTACCGTTTTTCGGCGGAGGCGTAGTGGCGACGAAGTCGCTACAACTGGAACTTGTTTTAATTCGATTCTACGATTCCAAGACTACGCGTTGAGTAATAATTTTCTGAAAGTAAATAAGCTGTTTCACTCAACGTAGAATCGAGGACCACTTTCCAAGCGTTCGTTCATCCACGAAAGATTTTGCCTAATTTTCGCGTGCGATACGAATATCAGAGATTGGAGATCCTGGCTTCAAGACAACCTCCATTTCGATTCTTCATCCGCAGTTGGAACGCATTTCCATACATTTCCTCAGGGTTCTCCTTCCTTCTGCGATCATAAATCATTCACCCCCGTCCCCCAGGTTCCCCTCTCCCACACACTGCGTCATCGTCACGCGACAGACGCCTTTGTATACATATTCTCTTATCCAATCCCTTTCTCCTTCTCGCTTAATTGTTTTTATTCGACTTTCTCGCCTTTGAACCCTGGTCTGCCACCGCTTTATTCGATCTCGTTCCTTAGAATTGTTCTTCTTCTTCGAGGGAGGTCCATCCTTCTCCTCCAGGCAAATGGTGATGGAATTGCCAGCCCATTTTCGACGATTCTGACACGAAGGCTGGAGCCTCGAGTCCTGTTCCTGGAGAAGTTATGCAAGACTCTGGTAAAAATGGCAAAAACGGTCACATTTGATTAGAGAGCTTTCTGGACTAGTTCCTTTCTAACCACGAGAGGCTAGTTATTTAAAAGGAACACAGGAAACTATAATTCATTGGGAAGCAGCATTCACAAAAAAAAAACATATTTGTACGTGCTTAAACGTTCCTTCAATTCTTTGACTACGGGTAGTCAAATTTAATTTGGTTAGAACGTAATCGTAATTTATTCTAATATCCGAACCTGACGATTAAATTTACGGCATGTGTGCCGAAAGAGTCGAAGGGTGTTCTGGGTTAAATACAATTTCTGCGTCCCCGCGAACGGGAAGCCAAATTCCAAGGAAACCAAGAGGCCCCGGTAACCAAATAAAGTTCTAAGCACTTTATTTTCGAAATCCCCATAGACAATAGCAATCGCTCGAGAGAAACGGAGGATGGAAACCTCAGGCCTTTCCGCTCGGAATTCTGATGGTTTTGTCGAAACAAAAGGATCCTCGAATTTCAGCGACGACTGCGACCGCCTAGAGCCGGGAGGATCGGATTCTCGGCGAATTCCAATTTCGTTTTGCCTCATTGCTCCCGATGGTATCGCGTTCTATCGCTGTTTTAACCGGGGCACCTTTTTTCTCTCACTACTCGCCCGAACAATTTCGAATTTCCATGAATTTTGAACGCATCGAGTGGAAAACTGGACGACAACCAGCCTTTCCGTTAAAATAAATAAATAAAACGCTTCATAGATTACTTGGTAGTATCATCGTCAATGAATTGGTTTTCAACGAAAAATTGTGGAACTCCTGTCTTGATAAATTTTGATTCGAAAACGTGTTTCCGTTAGAAATCATCGATGATACATAAAAATTTGTCGTTACTTTCTCAATTTTGAGCGAGTAAAACGCTCCCTTTCGCGCGTTCCATTAAACGACGGCTTTATCGTCGTAATTGTACCGACACGATATCCCAGGTGATAAGGGAAACGCGACATGCCGCGTGAGCGAGCGGCTTTACACGAAAGCTCTTACGAAATTCTAACGATCGTGTTTTAGATAATGCCAACCAACCCCTATGGTTCTATGAAACGTTCTCGAAGTCTCCTCTTCGCGTCAATTTTTCTCTGTTCGTTAACCCCGTTCCCTTACTTTAACAAGTCTGATTCGTGATGAAGATTTTGACCCAAACATAAACATCACGAGCCAGACTCGCGAACAGATAGTCGGTCCAAACCTAAACATCACGAACCAGGCTCGCGGACAGCAAATGACGATCGTGATTGAGTTTTAGTTCCTATCAGTACGCCACAAGAGTTGGTCACGATTCTTACAATCTCTGTTACAAAGCAGTTTAGCATCAGTCTGGTCTGTGTATCGCACGTTGACGCCTACCGTTTGGGCCCGGAAGCGGTTAATCCAAACCAACTTGGACGTTAGCAAACTGCCCCATTTTGAGGCGCCAGAGTCGATTCGTTTTTACTTTCCCATATTCCCATTTCAAGATTCGATTTTTAGCAAAATATTTATACGATGATGGCTATCATTTTTTTCTATTTTTCTAATATATTCACAAGGGGTTTTGCCGACTAAAAAAGGCATCGAAACGTCCCGCGCTATTTTGCAATTTATTATTATTTAAAATTCCAGTCGATGGCGATACACAGAAATAACATAAATCGAGACGCGTCACGGATGGCGAAATCGTTGTCAATAGCCAGGTTTTTCCAAGCAATAATCGGCCATAATGCTCGTAATTAGACATTGCGAGGCACACATCGTCGGTTGACGGTAAATTATTAGACGGCCAAGTGGCGATTCTGTTATTAACCGCTCGTTTCCTATCCCCATGTGCTCGTTAATAATGCGCCATGCGGTGCGTAGTTTCTTATCTCCGGCCCGTAAATTCTATTACTCGTTTCATCGAACATGGCCTACGAATCATCCGTGTATCGCGTTCAGGAATTCGGTTGCGTTCGTGAAATGTTGGCACTCGCGGCGATACGCGGGACGTTAATTAATTATTAATTAAAAAATCGCTGCGTAAAGCAACGTCTGTATAAAAATCGCTGGCCATTCTTTCCTTTTTCCCCTCCGGGAATAATTATCACCGCCCGCCGCGACACATTTGCATCTTTCGCCCCGGTTTTTCACCTTAGATACGCGCCGTTATCCGCGACAGTGTGCCCAAACGGGGATAACGAACGACAAACGCGGTCGAACGCCGCGATAAACCGCAACAAACCGAGCCTCGTGTTCTCTAAAACTCGTCGCAATCAACTTGTTCAAGAGCAGGGTAAAAATTTGAATGCAATCGAGTTGTTCAAACATTTGATCGGATTGAGTTTTCTCAAGTTTGATCCAAAAAAAGAAGTCGTTTGAGGAGAAATCGATAAAGAATCGAACATTTCTAGCAGATAGCTCTACGTGGATAACAAATAATGGAACCTATTATAATAAATAATGTTTGTGTTACAGCCATCGTGGATGAGAAGCAAGGAATACTGGGACGAGAGTTTCGAGGCCAGATACGCAGAGCTCAGAAAGGATCCAACGAGGCCGCCATTGAAGGTACGATCTTGAGTCTCGAATCTTTTGATCTACGATGAATTACTTTGTTTAATAATTAACGAGCCTGAATTTTGTATTAACGTCAGATAACGTCATTCGTGTCAATTACGAGACTAGCTCGTCCCAACATTTGTGTTTGACGCTGTTTGACGCGCATACTTTCGTCTCGTTGGTCAGTCGTCGGATCGGGCACCGGAGAAAAGTCCCTGGTGCATTTGATGCATATTTAGTTCTCTGTACACACTAGCGCGCCGCGGTTTTCCAGCGAACCTTTGTGCGCCGTCCCCTTGCACTTGACGAAGCCACAAATGGGAACGTTTCGCCAAAGATCGTGGAAAGCTTCTGTTTTCCTTCGCGTTTTCCATATTTAGCTTCTTGTTTATATGCATTCGACCAGAAAAAACCTGTTCCATTCTACGCGATCGATAACCGATTATTTCGTCGAGCAACATAATCTCCTATTTTTCAACGATGAAGGAACTTTAACCCTTTAACTCGTCTTTCGGTTTACATTTTGTCAACAGAAATATATTGTTAAACTGAAAAATTGTCATTTGTGGCGGGTTAGGCCGAAAAGTGAGACGGTTAAGGGGTTGAATCATTGGAAAAGTAGGTCGTTGCGGCGATACTTCCCACACTCGTCGCCAGAGGGCTACGGCTCTTGTCTCTCTCGCAAGTGCTCATTACCGATGAGTTCACTAGCAGGTCCAAGACGAAACTGTCCTCCCACATCGTAAGAAGGACAATTTTTTCCAGAATCCTTGTCTACAGATGTTAACAAACGACTTGGATCACGATTGTAGGCTACGTTTGAGTACCCAAAAAAGCAACTCGAACGGAGTTGGATGAATAAAGATTAAACCCGTTGGAAAAGTATGAAATCTCCGAGCGAACGGAACGGGTCCATGGTAATCTGGTCTGTCTAATGAAGCGATGCAAGGCTGATGGGTTCGACAGATGAAAAGACACGTTTACAGAGGCGGGAACAGAAGGTACAGGCAGCTTAGCTAGAATCGGGACAGCGTGTACGTGCTTCCTGAAGCCTCAAGTCGGATCCTCGTCGGGAGATGAGGGATGAAACTTCGTTAACGATTCTCCGAAATGCCTTGGATGTGCCGGCTTAATTAGTTCGCGGACGTGAATGCAGGCTGCCGTTGCTGAACACGAGTTTCTGGAGAGCTTCCCTCCACCTGGACGAAGTCGAATGCGCGAAACCCCCGCGTTTGACGATTTTTCTGGCACAGACCGTCCGGCTAACGACAAAACGCCGGAACAGAGAGTGGCGCAAGAAAATAGAGACGCTTCGGGGAACCGAGCAAGGCATTCGAGGAATAAAATTAAATCACAGCGAAGAGGGGCTCCTGCGAAGCGTAATAATCGAAAACGCTCGCCGATATACGCACGCCTCTCCAGGGAATCAACGAAGACGCCCGTCGTCTGCAGAGCTTCTCCGCACGATCTCGACGTACCCAAGCGTCATAAACACGCCAATATTCTCCAATCTTTCCTAACAAGGTGATACTGCTGTCCTGAATATAGCTAACCTACGGTGAACCCACCGGGAGTAATAATATCGCTGAGAAAAGTGCACGACGCCGACCGAGAATCTTTCTCGATAAACTCTTTGGCACGTACAAACGGTTTGTTCGATTACAAAGAGATCTTTAGAAACCGTTATCTTTAAAATTAAGCGATAGTTACGTTAGAAATTATTGGCAGTCGTGTTCAGCGGGTCCTAAAAGTTCAGAAGATGCATGAAGACTTCTGGAGCTACCAGGTTGCAGAGAGCTAGTTCTACGTCAGTTAACGGCTTCCAAAGCACTCAATCATTGATAAGTAGATGTTCCAATCAGTTGTTATGTGGGTAATCCTACTTTTAAAAGTCAGAAATGTCTTAGAATCCTCAATAATGACGTCTCTAGAGCTACCAGGTTGCAGGAAACTACTTCTAGGTCAATTAACAGCTTCCAAAACACTCAATCATTGACAAATAGATATTCCAGTCAGTAACTAGGCAGTTAACACTATTTAGAAGAATTAGATGCATCTCAGGATCCACCAGGTTACCGAAAATTAATTTTAAATCAGCAACCGTCTCCCAAAGTCCCTAAACTTCGATAGATGCGTCCCCAGAGACATCGAAGTCTCGGGCAAGGTGAATTTTTCGAACCGCCTGGCATAGCATATACCAATTCTCTGTCAGAAATTTGTCATAGGAGTCCCTGGATGTTCGAAACTTGAAAGAGAATTCGAAATTCTTTGTCTCGCGAAGGATCTAAAACTCCAAAGGAGGATACACCGGGCTCGATCGGTTGGGCGAACTGTCCAATTCGCCAGCGATCTAGCGGAACAAATATTTATTCGGAAGCTAGGAAGTGTTTCCCGGACGAAAGCGATTTCATCGAATCCCCCAGGAGCCTCCGCTACTTCCCGGCTTGCGCGAGGACAAACGCGAACGCGGGCATCCCTTTGGCCCTTTCATTGTGCCCCGGATCGCGGCAGAGTTCGACAAGTTCGACAATACCGGCTCATCAGAGTATTGTCGACGGAACACAATGGTGGGCGGTGGCCTTTTCGAAAACTCGTGCACAACAATGCATCGACGCCGGCGATTTCGCCGCGGAATGCATCCTATGCACCTTCGCTCCTCTTCGCAAGGGCTTCCTTCCGCTTCCAGACTACTCAGCGATCCCTTTCGCTTAGCCATTGTTGTCCTTCACTCGCTTATCCAAAACTTCTCGACGCGTAGGCAGATTTCAAAGCCAAGATGGCGGTACTTGGGCAAGTCTTTCGCAGATTTAGCGTTTGTCATCCTATCTATTAGGATCCTATCTATTATATATCTATTTTATGATAACGTTTCCTAACCGTTCTTCAATATTTAACGTATAAATAGCAATTTTATTTCTTTATTGTAAGGATCTATGAACGTTAAGGGGCTGAGAAACGCAAACAGGCGACGACAAGTTTAAAATTCTTCTGGGAAATTGTACGAGTCACGTATTCGAATCGTCGGGGGGCGTTAATTACAGAATGGTCATCCCGCGCATTTAATAATCCACGCCAAGAGCGAGTGACGCGAGCAAAAGCTGTCACGAGATACGAAGGCTGATTCGTATGCATGAGACGGCCGTAGCACGGATCGTAGCGTCCCTTTAATACACCCCCGGTCCTTCGCCCTGGAACAGTCCTTTCTCGAGAGAAGCACGATCCGTTTCGCCCGCCAGTTTCCCGATAACTTTGCCAGCTACTTCCTCAAATCACAGTTATCGCCTCTAACTGGAACGAGCCAACGAGCGGGATTCCTGAACTACGAGTCCCCGTCTTCCCGGGGAATTATTTCCTAGTTAAAATAATCGCTGATGCCACTGGTTTGTGAAAATTTTAAAGAAACGTCTTCGATAATTACTCAATAAACATTAAGCCCTACTCGTTTCCAATTTTCGTAGGCGATATTCTTGGGTTTCTACTGTGGCGGTTTCTTTGCTATGCTTTGGGATTTTTTGACAAGAAACAGTAAAAATAACTAGAATTTTTTTCATCCACGAAATATCACGATCGTCGGTGCTGAATCTTTACAAAGCATTTGACTTAACTGCGAAACCGCTCCTCGGTCCATTTAACGAACGTCTCTCTCCTAATCGTGTTTGACTTTTTTATCTTTTTCGAGCACGTTGGCACGATTGTCTCGTTTAATAAACGAATAAGGTTAATAAATACGCCGTCTTGCTGTTGCTCGGCTCCGAGGGCGAATGGAGGAAATAAAACAAAGAGGATCGGAGGGTTGTCGGGGGTAAGTACACCCCCGACAGCCGACTCGTGACCGTTCCATTACATTTGTCTAGCCGTGGTAGGCAGGCAAGGTGACATTTTTCCAGGGCAGACTCGGTTTTTACGAGGCTACCTCGTATAACCGAAGGCGCCTCTCATCTCTCGGAGGCAGTTCAGGTTCCGGATGATCCCGAGGATGTCTCCCTCGACGAGCATGTTGCTGATATCATTTTACTTCACCGACTTCTGAGTAATATCGTTTAACTAGAACCTGGTCTCCTCTAATCAAGGGACTTCGTAGGTTTCCAACGCTCTAAAAGAAACTATGCCCTACAAATGTAGGAAAGCTTCCGTTATTACAACCAAAGGACTCGTTTTCCCCCCATTTTTAGGTCCGTGGTCGCTTCCCGTGTCCTCTGCCAAGAACTTAGGCCAAGAATGGCCCATTTTGTAAATATTTCCAATCCATCATTTTTGTTGTTAATTTTGCTAACTTTTGGGATCTTATTTATCGGGTCTCATGCAAGAAATCTCGACGTACAATATGAAGATGTTCTAGATATTCTTCAGGGTCGAAACGTTTGCAAGATCTTCGATTTCGACGTTTTCCCGGCATCCAGCCCTTGCACCGTGCAATGTTTCGTGGCTTCCTCCGCGCGCAGTCTAAGATGGATGCAATACATTGTCTGAAGGTTGAATAAAGTTAGCCCCAAACGTGCTAAAACCATCGATCCGCCAGAAGTTTGGGGTTTCTGTGTGGTTCGATAATAAACGAGGGTGCATAATAGGGATCGTCGGTGAACTATGCGCCGTTTAACGTGCCACGGCTTCCAACGTCGATTATGAGCGAACTAATATCGGTTTATCGCAATCCTTTGTCGCAGTGGTTCTCCACCCATCCGAGTGATTCTCCATTTTTCTACGCGAAGCGATCGAAGGACGATCGACCGTGAACGAAGCGGTTCGAAAGATCAAACAGAGGCGACACGTTAAATATTCATAAAGGAGAGAGAATCAAGGCGTAGGGACGCGAGAAAAAGCAACGGGAAACGCGGGAAAAATTAAAATATTCGACTCCCTAAAGATTAGGAATTTTTCTCGTATTGAAATGAATTTCGTAAATATAAATTTGCCACTTCGGTACTTTTGAAAGAACTAATAATTGAAATCCTGCAACAGTGATTAAGAAACGAAAATAGTAGTAACAGCATAGTAAAAAATATTGACTGCTTGGCCAGTTTCTCGGATAAAATAACTATTGTTTCGATGAAGAGTTTCTAGGATCGTCTAGAAACTTTTGCTTGGAACTTCCGGGCGTTGACTTGACGAGGCTTGTTCCAGGGGATCGTTTCCCAGATTTTCGCGACGGGCTAACAATCAAGCGAGTCTCGCACGTATGAGCAACCAAACCGATGGTAAATCGTAATGAGTCCCGCAAATTGTTTTACGAGCAATGTTGGCTGGCGTGCGGCTGCATTACGGGCTCGACCCGGCAGTGTATCAATTACGAAATAACGTCGTTATCGCGACAGGCATGGTATAGCCTAATTAACGAATATCCAGCATTAGAACAGCGTCGCGTCGGCGGTTGAGAACCGTTGCATCGACATCAATTTCTGTTAGACGGAAACTCGACGAATTAAAATCGTACGGATCGTGGTTTTCGGAAGCTCGCGGTCGATTTGAATTTCTTGGGCGAAGAGCACTCGAACGTAAAAATGTTACATAAATTTTCCGATAGCACGTTGGCTCGCGTTTTGCATAATAATGATAGTACCTCGAATTCTATTAGAATAGTTTGGGATTACGATTATGAAAATCCGTGCACAACAGGGGGTAAAAACTCTGAATTGGAACAAAGATTTCATTTCCGTGGCTTTCAAGTCGAGACTGATTCAAATATATTTCGAATGGTTCTTTTCTTTAACAATTTTTAGAACGACTTTAGTCGAAACTTGGATTACAGTGACCTAGCATAAGAATGTGTCCCCGGTTTTAGGTGATCCTGGTCCCCCACAGTCACACGGATCCAGGATGGCTGAAGACGTTCGAACAGTATTTCCACAGCTCTACTAGGAGCATCCTGAACAACATGGTCTCGAAGCTGCAGCAATGGCCGAATATGACCTTCATCTGGAGCGAAGTGTCTTTCTTATCGCTTTGGTGGGAGAGGTAAGTGTATATCGCAGAACTTCCCTTTCCAAAACGAAATTTAAATTTTCAGGAGTGTCACGTTTTTCGATACCTTTGGTATTTCGTGACTTCATATTTTATTTAATGAAACATTATATTCCTAGTATGCGGTACACCTCGAATTTTATTTTACGTGTATCGTCAGTTTATTACAGATTATAAATATAATAATACATCGAGAGATTCCTCTAAAACAGCACAAATCAGTTCCTTTGCCTCAGAAGCATATTTGTTCAGTCGAAATGCGACAAATAAATGTCTAATTAAACGTAGTGGTGCTCTGTTGGGCGCCATTGTGCTCGCCACCGGCTGTTTTGAGGTTAAAATGGTTCGATTTAACGCTAGATTCAGGAAACCCATCCGATTCGAGGTTGAATTTTATGGATGTAAAGATACAAATGTATGTTCTAATTAAAAGAAAAACAGAGGAAAACAAATCTAGTGTTAAGTATCTATTACAAGTGATAATTGAAACCCTGTATGGTCTATGTTTCTGATTGAAAGGACATCGAATCGATAGCTGCTTTAAAAGATCCAAGCAGTAATAAGTCTTTCTCCAGACATTATTAATTTTACCCAGAGAGTAAGAAGGAAAAATTTCCATGTAAACCGGAGAAAACGTTCGATTATCTCGGCCACGAGGCTCGGAAAGTGTTTTTACACCGGGGCAGGGGCGACAATCGTAAAAGGGAGCATTAGAAAAGAGAGATAGCAGGCAGAATGGACCGACACGAAAGAGCAGTTAAGGCATCCCCTTTCGTATCTGTTAGGATAGCGAGGAGCTTCTTTTTTTTTTTAACGATCGACAGAAAGCGGAGGATAAAGATGAGAAAGTATCGCGGGCGTAAAAGGAGATCGTGAAGAGGAAAGATATATAACTTCGCCTCGGGGAGTGGGTGTTCTTTTTATCGAATTGTTCGGTGGATCAAAATCTAACCGTTACGCGAGAAACGGGACAATGGGAATCGTTTGGAATACCGGGTCGATAAGAGGATAACGAGAAAATCGCGAGAATAGATTTCCGTGGACTTAAACGGAGTGAGGAGGTTGCGTGCATTTGCGTGATACGTACGCGGCCCTTGTGGAACGGGGTTTGTCATAAAACGTCCCATTAGGAGCTTGTTCTCCTACTTGTGTAGCAGCATGGCCTTTTCGGACGAGGGGCAATATGTGGAAGATCGAAAACCACTTTCTTCCCTTAACATCTTGGAACGCTGCGAACGAGAACGACCATTTTTGTTGCTGTTGAAAGGGTAAATTCGTTCCGACTACTTTCCCGCCCTTTTCGTCCTCGACGAACGTTATTTCCAACTTTTGAACAATATTAGATCGAAATTAATATACGCAGATTCTGTTGCTTCGAAAGACATTTATCATGCATTTTTAAATTTGAGTTCAAATCGATGCAAAAGCAAATAATACGTTTGCAAATTCTAAATGTAACAGCGTTGCACTGTCAGCAGCTGCTGATCGCGATATTTGCATTATGATTATATTGATAATCGCGACGACTGCAAATTTTATTGTTTTCTCGAAAATCAAAATGTCAACTAGATGATCCAGGAGAATTTCTTTCAAATAATGCAAATCCAGGAAACTCCTCTGGATCGTTTAATCCAAAGAAAATGAAGCTGTCTTCGTTGATATCTAAAAAAAAAATAACAATAAACTTCAGCTCGTACTTTCGAACAAATTGGAGTTGGAAAAATGACAGCGATGGAGCTGATTCGATATGGTGAGGGTAATTTTTAATACGCGTCGGTTTATTTTTCGATCGATCGATTTCGACCACACCCAATTTAAAGTGGGAGTATATTTTCAAAGCTTTAAATATATTTTGGATTCTCCCAGAAATTATAAAATTTTAAAGTAAACAACATTCCCTTTTCAAAATTGATTCATAGTTCATTATGTGCTACTTAACGCTGTTTTGGAGCGCAATATTAATTTATAATATTTCAAACTAAAAAGACGATATCGTCTATGCAATAAATGCTGCCAACCCAGCTCAGATTAATTGCAATAATTCATTCACGCGTTAAAAAGTTTGCTAATATTTTATTCCGGAGAGGATAAATAATTCCTAACTTGGCCCTTTCTTTATTTGCAAAAAACTTTGTCCGCGCATGTTTTGGGGACCATTAGGAACCTAAGCATGATCGATCAAAGTGCCCTTTGCGTTGCCAATGGCAGTGCTCGTGGGAAAATGGAGATTCGAGCTGATCCAGCCGGCGAGATTTGAATTCGAATGTGTCGGGACAGGTACTGTTTCCTATACGTTGCATCGGTGTCCCTTTGACGGAATGTCGACCGCTTCCATGAGAAAACGATGGTATTGGTAGACTCGATGGTCCTCATCGCGGGGATTATCCTGATCAGTTAGAGTTAGGGGAACGTTGCAGTTCGGGATGAATGACTGCTGACCCAAAGATGCGTTCACAAATTGATGATCGTACGTATCTCACAAACTGACTACTTTTCCAAGTTATAAACTTTCTGTTCCCATCAGAGTTCGATAAGAATGTCTTTCTACTTCAAAAATATCCTAGAATAGTATTTTACACAATATCACAGAGTGTTAATTTTTTCCAAATTATTGGAGCATATTTTACAATTGGAAATAAGACGAATCGTTCGAAAAAGATCGGCTTTAATTCCTTAGAAAGATATAAAGAAATGCTAAAAGCATCGTGATTTTTTACTAATCTACCCTCTTAAAGGAAATGGCTGCTACGAAATTGTGAACACCAACATTGTCAATAGCACAGTGTTAATTTTTTTGTCAAACTTAGCATATAAGGTGGGATGTAATTTCTTAGAAAGTTATAGATACTAGAAGGATCGTGATTTTTGACTAGTCCACCTTCTTAAAGAAAATGGCTGCAACGAAATTACGAAGATCAGCGTGATTTCCGATTGATCGCGAGAATGGAAATGGCAAAAGTCCCCGAGACTTTCCTTGGAGCATAATTCACCACCTAAAGGGGTTAAATACGAATATCTTAGCCGGCATCCGGTGATATAGAGCTCGCGTAATTGTGAGTTACATCGCAGATAGCCGCGAGTAACGTGTAACGCCGCAACTTGTAATTTCGTACGATACAATCCGCGATACAAATCATATTTATTGTCAGGCGCATTCCAGCCAACCGGGATTTACGTGATTTTACCCGGCCGGCTGTGTTTCTGCGCCCGCGCAGCTCGTAAACCACCAATGAATTCCGTTCTACTTCTGTTTCCGCTTTTCAATCGACCATGTTGCGCGAAGATTAAGGATATTCCGAAACTGTGCCTCGACAACTGTGCAAAATCATTTTCCCGTACTGCGTCCACGCCCGCGAGGGAGGTTTACACACCCACGATATTTCGACCGGAAGTTACAGTACTCGAGTTTCTTATTAAGAAACTAGAATTTTATTCTAAGAAAGGCGGTAGATTTAGACTCGAGTCTAAAGTTAATTTTCCAATTATTATCGTTCTATTCATTAATTGAATATTTTGATTTCCGAAAAGCTCGAGGAAGGATTCACAGAGACGTCTACGATGGATAGAAATAACGTTCGATACTCAAAGTTTCACGAAAAGAGTAATCGGTGGTTCTTGTTGCTTTTGACAGTGCTCATCCCACCAAAAAAATGGTCGTGAAGAGGTTGGTGAAAGACGGCAGACTGGAGATGACCACGGGAGGCTGGGTAATGACCGACGAAGCTACTTCGCACATCTACGCCATGTTGGATCAACTTATAGAAGGTGAGTAGCCTAATGAATACTCTGCGATCCTATACTTGTACAAGATCCGACGAAAATATTCGGAGACTTGAGATTTAATTATTTAATATTAATTGTCAACAGTAGTTGCTTTGAACATTGAAATTTGCAACGACTAATCCGAAGCTCCTTTCGATTTTCGCGCCTAACAGAGCGATAAATAATCGTTGTGCGGGTGCGTGGGAGGGTAAGAGTTTTGACGGGTTCATATTTCGAGAAATCGACGGGGAAACGAGGCCCGAAGAGAACGGGGGTTGGTCGTTTTCCCGGGCGGATGCAGGTAAGACGCAATAACTGAGAGCTTCTCCGTCGGTCGAAGGGATTTCGAGTCGATCCGGGGAACGTGCTCGAGAGACTCGGAGCAATAAGGAGGGTCGACGGTTTCTGGGAGGGAAGATTGCACTCCTTCGCCCTTAACGCCCTCTGATTACGGTCTCCCCCGCCCTGGATCGCAATGAAAGGAACAGGATCCGGTTTAATGCCACGACATTTCCACCGCGAGGGATTTTATTGTGTCCTTGGAATTCCCTTGATTACGCGATATTTTCCAGCAATAAGAATTACCGTTCTCGTAAATACGTCCAGACGTTATCGTCGCCCGTGATTCGTCTGCGTTTGGAGGGTCGAAATACAGAAACGTTTTATCTTTAATGTAATTTAAATTTGGAAGAGGACGAGTCGAGTTCGCCCCATAACTTTAACGTTTCGAGCCCTTTGATAAGAACGGTGTCAAACGAGGGCGAAACTCTTCCATTTCGATTTCGTTCTACAATCGGCGGTTTCGTGCTCGATAACGAGTTGCGTTTTCATCGCGTTCCATATTCGGCCACGGAATATTTGCCGATATATCGGCCTATAATGCCCGCGAGTACGCATATTGACCGCGTCTGGCCTGGAATTTAACGTCCTAAGCGCGAACGGGTTGCATACATATTCAGAAGCCTAATAATTGGAAGTTAATACAGCCGGCCAGCATTATTTCAATGGTACGCCACGATGGCTGTGGGAAATCGCGTGAATTACCGCGCGGCCCGTTTCAGCGAGACATTTTCGACGCGTTCGCGGATTTGTTTCCATTCCCTTTGCTGAATTATTCGTGTCAACCGTGTATCCTTCATCCGATAACTATGTACGTCGCGCGAAGCAATCCTTCTAGAGGACACAGAAAATAGAATTTTTAATCTAAAAAAAATATAGACATTCGATGACGTAGACATTGTTAAATATAATATATCCGAACAATTTATCGTTCCCTGCCTTCAATAGTTCGAGGAAAAATTTAAAACAGGAACTGACGACACGGCTTCGCGAAAAGTCGAAGAAAATCGACGCGGTAGGATTTCGTCCATTTTGAACAGGGTCTTTGCACCCTTTGCGTCGCCCAACAATCGAAGTCTGAAAAATTCCGTTCAAAAGCCGAAGAAAGTTTATAGGTTCGAAGAATACAGTTCTTCCGAGCGATTTGACTTGGAAAAACCACCAGCACCGAAGCGAAATAAATAAAAAGACGATAACTCGGGAGCGGGAGCCGAAGTTCCGCGCTTTCTCGGCTGATTAAACACGCTGGAAAATGGAATCGAAATGGACAGAGACTGCTCGCGTATTCGGTCGAGGAAGTCGACCCAAAGGAAGATTTCCCCCAGCGAGATCGCCCTCTTATTTCGAGATCGCGAGCGCTGGAGGACACGGGGAAACGTTCTCGACCTCGATGCTCTGGGGAATATGGACGCGTTCGAAGTTCCGGTTGCTGAAACTTGGACCGTTGATTCGGCTTACTCGACAACCAGAAAATCTGGACACTGTTTCTGCGGGATAATCGACAGTGTCATAGAAAATTTTCTACAAGATTAACAGTTTGATCTAACATTTGTAATCATTTTCGTCCCTTCGATCCACCGTAGAAGCGAATAATTCTTTTACAACGCGTATCTATTATTTAATAAACATGCCACGAAGGTGGTCCCAGAAGTACCCGACCTAACAAAAAAACACAAGAAATTTGGGAACAAATATCTTTATTTTTCAACATAATCTCCTTTTAGCTGGGTACACTTTTCCCAGTGGTGTTCAATAGCTTCGATACCCTGTTTATAGTGAGAACCATCGAGCTCCTCAAAATAGCCACTAACCGCAGACTCCACATCTTCATTATTGGAAAATCTTTTACCACCGAGCCATTTTTTCAAGTTTGGAAGGAGAAAATAATCCGAGGGGGCTAAATCTAGTGAATAGGGTGCCTGATGGAGCAATTCGAACTTTAACTCCTGGATTTTGGCCATCACGATAATGGTTGTGTGAACTGGTGCATTGCCTTGGTGAAACAACACTTTCTTTTTCGTCAAATGCAGCCGTTTTTCCTTGATTTTGTCACTCAAACGCTGCAATAAATTCGCATAATACTCGCCGTTGATTGTTTTTCCTTTTTTAAGATAATCAATGAAAATTATTCCACGCGCATCCCAAAAAACTGACGCCATTACCTTGCCAGCAGATGGAACTGTCTTCGCCTTCTTTGGAGCTGGTTCTCCCCTTACAGTCCATTGCTTCGACTGTTCCTTCGACTCAGGTGTGAAATGATGGACCCAGGTTTCATCCATGGTTATGAATCGACGCAAAAACTCTGCTTTATTCCTGTGAAACATCGCCAAACACTCGATTGAAACATCCTCGCGACGCTGTTTTTGTTCCATTGTGAGCAAACGCGGCACCCATCTTGCGCACAGCTTTCTCATATCCAAATTTTTAGTCAATATGCGTTGTACAGCACTTTTTCAAATGCCTATCACATCTGCAAGCTCACGCACTTTCAGTCGATGATCGTCCAATACCGTTTTGTGGATTTTCTTTATCATTTCCGGTGTGGTCACTTCATTTGGTCGATCATTGCAGTGTTCGTCTTGGCAGCTCGTACGGCCTTGTTTAAATTCTGCCACCCAATATTTTATTGTTGTAAATAAAGGAGCAGACTCCCCTAGAGTAGAATCTAGCTCAATTTTGATATACGTTGGACTGAGACCTTTCAAATGAAAATATTCTATCACATAACTATGACCAATTTTTTCCATGTTTACAAATTCACTGAGAGCGTCCACTATTAATGGCTGTCAAACAAATACTAAACAATGTAGCATCTTCAAACTTGAAACTTGAGCTTTGTAAGGTTGGTACTTCCGGCCATGATCATCTTTTTTAAACAATAACCGCCTTAAGCCAGGTCTTTCTGAGACCACCCTCGTATATCGGTTGGAAGATATCGAGCCTGAGTGAATTGTGCATATAAATAAAAGTTACCAGTATTAAATCGTTCTGATCAAAAACGATAAACGTATTTCGTGCATAATTTTAGAACGTATTTTTCCATTCGTTGGACACGAGGGTTTTAATATCAAGGGCAGTAATCTTTACAAAGTTTTCACGGCGCACGGTGACGGTTGGAATTATGAATTACACTGCGGGCGTCACAGATCGTAAATGGATCAGCATAAATCACGATCGCAAATGCGTCTAATTCCGATCGCGGCCATTCGATCAGCGGAACGAATGATTTATCGCGGTCCGCGCAAGGACAATGGTCCGACGATAATGGGTCTTCCCTTCGTTTACTGGGGACGAACGACGATAATCTAAATACAATATTCAGTATTCCGTGGCTCCGATTGATCTTAGAAAATACAAGGAATCTCTATAAAAAACTACAATAAGATTTTGTCTCGTAAACAGTATTTGAATCAAGTTTATTTTGAACTTTATTCGATTTTTTAGACTAGTAAATTTTCCTAGGGATGGAATAAAAATTAATCGTAAGATTAGACGTTGAAACACCGATTGTAGAATTTATTTTTCGTACCAGCGAAGCTCACGATACTTTGTTATTCCTGATTCCTACACACGGAACGGAACTAGAAATTAAAAATTAAAATTGAATCGTTGTCGAACACGTTGACGAGGAACGCCTCGAGACGCTACGATTTCCCTCGTTGCAAGAAATACGCGTGTTTCGTGGTAGCTGGGAGAGGATTGTGCACGGGCGGACGCTAATTATCGCAATTAAAGCGACATCGAAGACTCGACGCCGGTAGATTAACCCCCTGGAATCCAAAGTCTCGGGATCCCGGAGAACGGTGCGGAAGATAAGCGACACGATCGCGGGGGCCACGGCGATATCGACAATTGCAGAAATCGAGATAATCCGCGATCCACTTGGGGTCGGGCCTCGAACACGCAGGAAGCACGATAATAACCGGAAGCGCGCCGGGACGAGTCCATTACCGGCCTGTCCTGAAGCACCTAGCTCGTTTCGGTCCGCTCTCTGGAAATTAGCGGCAGCTAACGAGCACCGCGTTATCTCCGCAACGATTCGATCCCACGATATCTGCGACTTCCACGAACGAAACTCCCTCGAACGGAAAATCGACCATCCAAGACGATCCTACCCTCGCAATCGTTCGAAACGCGTGGCATATAATTCTTCTCAGGGCTGATTCTCGGAGCTGATGAAAAATGTACAAAGAAACTAAGATCTTTTCCTTGATAAAAGAAATCGAGAATTGTTGATTCAACCGTTTACAGAATTTGAAGTTTCATATTCGAAAAAATTTGTCTGAAAATCTCTCTAATACTAAACGGTCCACTCTGTCAAAACAAGTTCGTTCTAAGATAGTAGAAATTGCGAATATGATTATTTTGAAAGTCTACCATTTTTTATACTTTTTTCGTCGCGACGTTATTTTAAGCAAAATGCAATGTCTCCCTTCCGAATTTTTATTTTGAAAAAGAATATTTTCGCTCCTACGCGGTTCGATCGGATTTTCCCTTTTTTCTCCGTTCTTTCGCTGTTGAGAGAAAATTCGAGGCTCTTCGAGTGCTCCTGGAACTCGAAACATCTTCGATCGCCGTGAAATAAAAGCAACAAGTGGCGGGGAGGCACTTATTATCTTTCCGTTTGCTCGTGGCTCTTTGGGCCGACTAATGTGTGGCCGCAC